ATGTGATCTCTAAGTGTTCTAAAATGGTTATTCTCATTATGAGGCAATTGATTATCTTCTTCGGCCATATTTTCTAAAAATGTATGTAACCACAAAGTCTATCACTTAATGTATGTAACCACATTCTCATGCACGTATAGGAATAGAATAAAATAAAAAAGAAAACAAAAGAAGAAGAAACAAAACAAAACAAACAAAGTTAGATACAAGAAAACTAAAAATTAAAAATAAAATAAATACTATAATTTATACGATAATTTACATCCCCAGCAACGATGCTAAAAACTTGACACGACTAAAAGATTGATGTCTTCTCTTAAGTACAGAAGTATCGAAGTAATAAATTACCAGGCAATATCAAGGTCGAACCACAGGGAGGTTAATTGTATAAATTATAAATAATAATAATAATAATAATAATACAACAACAACAACAACAATAAAAACAATAATAATAACATAGTAGTAGTAGTAATAGTAGTAGTAGTAGTAATGAATAAGAAGAAAAAGAAAAAGAAGTTGATGAGAACTTTGAGATGGAAGATCAATGTGAGAATCAAACAATGATAAAAATAAATGTCAGGGTTAGAGAATCCACAATGATATTTCAAATAAGTATAATATAAACTCTCTTTATTACTCAATTGGAAACCATACACAAAGAAAGTTCTAAACGGATATGTTAACATGATTACATTAGTTATCTTATTTGGATAATGCTAATACTTGTAAATATTGTCAGGTATTCATGATTATAAGTTATGTTAATAACAAATCAAGTTTCTTTTATAGCACAAGTGTCAGTTATACCATACCGTTGGGCTATGAAAGTGTCAACTATTTGTTATACCAAGTGTTATACAATACAAATCTAGACTAACCATTTTAACAAGCAAAGTATTAAAAGTGAACAAGATAACAAATACAAAACATGTTAGTATCAAACATTCATATCCATGTTGAGTTTACAGTATTAAAAGTGTGAGGATACCTAGGTAAGAACAAAAAAAAATATATACTTTATATATCAATAAGAAATTTATTATTTTAATTAAGTTTTATTCCATGACATTAGTGATATATCATACATAACAATTATATATAAACATACACCTCTAACATGTCATTCTAATAAGATAATTATAGACATATCTAAACTAATTCCCTTGAATTATCAAAGAAAATTAGGTGGTCAGAATCCAGATAGCTATTGCAAATCCTCATAAGTTCTTTACAAGTATCATGGTTGTAACCTTTTGTGTCACTCGACATAGATTTTTCTATATAAATTCTTATATTTATAAATTACAAAACTTTTACATGATTGTATAAGAAATATTGAGTTACATTCGAGAGGGATTATATGAGAAAATAATTTAACAACCCCTAAAGAAAAATAAAGCAGAAGTAGGATACAAGAACCCTATTTAATATTACAATCATTCAACCATTAATAATACAATCACATTGATATTATTGTCAGGAATGCATTTTCGAAATATTTAATCAGAATAATATTTGAATAAATAAGGGTCATCCCAATAAAAGTTCTTCACTTCGTTCAAGAACTTTGTTTTATCTTGGGTACTCCAATAAGTTAGCAAATGTCCTGAAATAAGAAAATTAACAATATTAGCAAACCAAGGTATTGTAGAGATAGAAAATAAGGATTCATTAGGAAACTAGTCATCAATTGGTGTGATGTCAGATCTCGAATCTGTTGTCAATCTTGACAAATGATTTGCGACAACATTTTCGATGCCTTTCTTATCTTTGATTGTGATATCAAATTCTTAAAGTAACAAAATCCATCGTACCAATTTAGCCTTATAATCCTTTTTTGAAAGAAGATTTTTCAAAGCTGCATGATCACTAAAAACAACAACAGGTGAATCGACAAGATAAGACCTAAATTTTTCACATGCAAATACTACTGTTAGTAATTCTTTTTTAGTGGTGGTGTAATTCATTTGAGCACTATTTAAAGTTTTACTTGTATAGTAAATTGATACGACTAAAAGATTGATGTTTTCTCCCAAGTGCAGAAGTGTCGAAATACTAAATAACCCGGCAAGACCGAGGTCGAACCATATGGAGGTTAATTGTACAAATTAAAAACACCAATTATAAACAACAATAATAGCAATAACAAC